CTATTAGTGGTTTCACTCCACATTTCCCAGTACATAGTTTCTGCTGCTATTTTATCTAAAAATAGCTACATTGCACAAAGATGGGTACCAGTCACTGAATTCAAGTTAGCTCTGACACACTACTTTATGGGGAGGGGGTGTGTAAGGCTAACTAAGCACTTCTTTAAATACTAACAAAAAAACATGCTATGTAGATTTGTGTCTATACCAGCCCTAAGCACTTCTGTTAATATTGAGTGCACAAGGAAAGATCATACTATGCAAAGACTTATGTGTATACTAGCATTCATCAAGCCTATATGCAAAAGAAAAAAAAGGTGATGAAATTTGTTTATATAGTATATTTTATGAGTACATCAGAGGTTAAGAGCTCAGTTCTGAACAGCAGACCTTGTTGGAATTCCAACTCTGCAATTTATTAGCTGTTTAACTTTGGAGAAATTATTTAATCACTCTGAGTTTATGTACTTGATAATACTAGTATCTCCAAAGGGCCGTTTTGAGGATTAACTGTGGTAATGTTCAACACATAGCCCTGTGAAAATAATGATAGCTGTTAGTTACAAAGTTTTGAATCCTAGAAACGTGCCATTTGTAAAGGGGTTGCCATTTGGTGTGGAAAGCATGGAACCGTCTTGGGAATTACATAGGAGTAGAGCTCAAAGACTGCCAAAAATGTAATGTTGGTAGATATTTCCAAGGTCATCTCATTCAGTCTTTCTTTCCTTCCTTTCTTCCTCATTCATGCTTTCTTCCTAAATCATCACCTTTTCATTCTCTTAAAAATGCGAGGAACACTGGGGAGGGCTAAATTCAGAGTTAGGACAAAGATATGATAAGAGTGGTCCCTGCCTCCAAGGAGCTGGAAATGAAGGTGAGGGGAAAACTACAGAAAGCATTTTCTCATGACCATCAGAGCCACCAGAACAGAGCACAGAGGTCTGGGAATTCAGAGGAGATAAGATCTGTCCCAGGAAATCACCTCGAGGAGAGGTGGAAGTTAGCAGACAAAAATGGGGAAAGGGTATATTAAGAGAGGTTGCAGTAAATGGGTGCGGTGGGTATCTGTTGTTTTGGACTGCCCAGAATCCTCTATTCTATTTTCTGATAGCAGCACTCAGTTTTCCTTTGAGGAACTACCTAAACCCAGTCTTGGTGGAACTGACAGGCAGCCATGCCCTATCCAGGTCAATAGGTGAACACATTGCCCAAGGGAGTGCATTCAGAGAATGTTTGCTGTAATTCCAATTTTAGGCAGAGTGAACCAGGAAGAGAGCATGGCATTGCTGCTCAAGACTCTCCTTTTGCAGAGACTGTCCGTTCCTGCTCCCTTGTTATCCCGAGCCACGCTGGGAGCTGTCCTTTCTAAGCTTGGGGGCTCATTTTTATCATTGACTCTATGAACCAATCCGTTTTATTCCAATAAGATTCCCACTCTAACTCTAAAAGCTATCTTTCTAATAAATTCCCTTTTTTGGCTGAGGTTAGCCAGAATCAATTCTGTTGTATTGAGCCAAAGAACCCAAAATGGTAGCTTAAACAAAAGGTTAGAGCAGGAAAAGAGAGACAGAGAGAGATGTTTGGGTAATAATGAATAGTCTGTCTGGTTAGCATGTAGCATATACAGTGGAGAGCTAGTAGTTGGAAATAAAGTTGGAAAGGTTGCTTGGATCTGGAATGTGAAGGACTTTGACTGCTAGGCTTAAGTGATGCAATCAAAGCCACATTTTAGGAAGATTAAGTGGTGGAGAGGAGCAGGTGTGAAGACAGGGAAAGCAGGGTGGTTGGTACCATAGCTTCTGTTGTAAATGTTTGCACTGTCCTACATTATTTATTCAATTAACTGTCATTTTTCAAGAACTGATCATATGACAGGCTCAGTGCTAGATTTTAGGACTATAAAGATAATTAAGACATGATTAAAGCCCCCAACCTAGAAGATAAATCTGACCTGTAAGTGTGAGGATAAATTATTGGAATTAGGTAAGGGTTGTAGGTGTTTTCTGTAAGAGAGAGCAGCCAACTATTTTGTCGGGTTAGGAAAGGCTTCGAAGAGGTGATGATTTCTGAATCCGAGTTTTGAATAGCAGTTTGCCAGGCAGTCACAGTGGAGGTAGGCATAGGCATTGGGATTAAAGGTCTTGGGTCCTGGAAATATATCAGGATTAGAGATAAAGATTTGGGATCATAAATGTATAATATAACAGTTTAAAAATGAGAGTGGATGAAATTGTCCAGGGACGTAGATCATAGTAATAAGAGAAGAAAAGTAAGGACTGAACTCCCAGGAATGCCAACAAGTTAAAGGATAAATGGAGGAAAAGGATCTGGCAGAGGACACTGAGACCGAAGTGGGTGTGTAGGAAGATCAGACAGTGTCTTGGAAGCCAGGAGACGAAAAAGTGATAGGATCGGAGGAGCAGAATGTTGGATGCCACAAGATTAAGTAAAAGTAGGACCAGAGAATGTCCATTTGTTTCGGCAAAGAAAAGGTCATCAGACTTAGAGTCATTTCAGTGGATCGGTGGGGGTGAGAGCGAGATTACCGGGCGGAAATGGGGAGATGAGGAAGGGAAACGTGACTGTGGATAGAGGAGAGAGAAATTAGTAGCAAAGGGGAATACAGGACAAGGAAGGCTTCTTCCTTTGTTTTGTTTTATTGATGAGAAAAGCTGGTGCTTCTTGGTCCTAGAGGCTTGGCATGGACTTTCCTAACTACTGAACACCTTAAAGCAAACCAGATGTTCCTTCTGCTATGTAAATTCATAATCTCACCCCTGGTCCAACATGGGCTTGTCTTATTTCATATTCTGCTCCAGCATAAAAATAGTGAACTTCTCCTGTAACTTGTGGAGGTGTCGGACAGATGACATGTGCCAGGAGCAAATAAATTTGGGGTCATATACTAAATTTTTAATCTGGCCATATGTAGGCTTAACTTTTTCAAAGAGGGAAAAATAAACTAAATTTTAATTTCAAATGTGCATTTTTCTTATTTGGAGTATGCACAAAACAGGTGACTGCTATCCCCCCTAGTTTGGGGGGATCAAAGGGAAGGGGTTGGGGATGGCAGAACCTAATTATGGTTCTAGCAAAATAATAACTTCCACTAAAGATTCCCCACTTAGTGTTGACTATCCTCCTGAAGAGTTAGTCAGCTATTAAACGTGGTACCCATTTCAAGCTTCATGACTTCTCTCGTTTGTTGTATTAGTTGGTCATCGTTAGGTTCACAGAAACTTAACTTTAAAGATTTATTTATTTATTTATTTATTTATTTGGGAGAGACAGAATGTGTGCAGTGGGGAGAGGCAGAGAGAGAGGGAGAGAGAGTCTTAAGCAGACTCCACGCTGAGCGCAGAGTGCAATGCGGGGCTTGATTTCAAGACCCTGATATCATGACCTGAGCTGAAACCAAGAGTCAGATGCTAACTGACCATGCCACCCTGGCACCTTAAAACCTAACTTTAAATAAAGAAATCTGTTAGTTCAAGAAAACAAATCATGATAAAGTCAAGCAAAACCTGTTTCAGAGTTATCTGGAACCAGAAACTAATTAACTAAATATACCTACCTACTTACCTACTACCTATCCCTCAGCTTTGTTTCTTTCTCAATATAGACTTCATTCTTAACCACTGCAAAGTGGCTATCCTTGTAGCTAGAACAATGGATGCCAACAGCTTCTAGACTCAGGTCATCATAACTCTACCAAGAGAGAGGAAAAGACTTTGCTGTTGCTCTAGGACTTTGATTGGTCTACTTGAGTTACATGCAGACTCCACTTTCACCTGCCAGACCAATGTGGCAAGAGGGATTGAGCTACTGGGATTGGTCCAGCTAGGTGAGAAGCCCGTGCTTTGCTAAGTCACTGTGTCCAAAGGGGCAGGGTCATGGAAGGAGATAGCATCTTCCATCAACCTGGTTGGTGAAGAGGAGAGCCTCAAAAGAGTGAGGTTATTGCCTGAGAAAAGAAGAATGCTAGACACAAAACCATAAATGTTCAATAAATTTGCTTAGCACAAAACTTAGGTGTAGTCTCTGAATAAATGGACTGATTGTTTTGGAATGGGGGTGAGAAGTTTTCTGAAAATACCTGCTAGGACATGTCTCTCCCAGGAAAGGGAGCTACAGTTGGGTGATAACTTAATGTTGGTAGAGTTTGAATAAACTACATACAGAGACTTAGCACTTCATAATTTTAAAAGTAATTTTACTTGCATCAGCTTTATGAGCTAAAAAGAATTAGCTGTTTTAAATTTCCATTTTAGAGAGTACCAACTGAGTCTCAGAAAAAAACACTTTCTTATCCAGGATTCCACAACCAGCAAAGTAGGTGGTGACTTTGGGTTTAGAATCAGTAGTCCTGACTTCAAATATTTCTTTCATTACACCCAATTCTTAATGAAAGTACAGTCTTTTAAAGGATCGTAACATCGTGCCCAGTTTCAGGAATTGTTTTGGTATGTGATCTTTTCCCCCCCCAATTTTTATTTAAATGCCAGTTAGTTAACATACAGTGTAATATCCGTTTCATGTGTAGAATTTATTGATTCATCACTTACATACAGCACCCAGTGCTCATCTCTACAAGTGCACTCCTTAACCCATCACCCATTTACCCCATGTGACTTTTAAATTGTATTCATGTCAGTGATTCCCAGTTTATTAAAGTCATGACTCCGAAGACTCCCCGTGCAACCACTAAATTTGCACATTTGTTGTTGACACAGTTTCTTCTAAAGGACCAACTAATTTTTGTTTTCTCTTAGAAATGTTATGGCATCTTTTCATAATTAGGTACTCCATAGGATTATATATAGCCTAGACTCAGTGTCTTAAAGTGGTTCCTAACCCACCAAAAATGATCCGGTCATCTGCCTGATGTGGTAATTCTCTACTCTGACCAGAAAGGAAAAGGCATATAAAAAATAGAGGTTTTTATATATCACATTTACTTGTATTCCTAGCAATTCCTTGGTATTTATTGTTTGTTTCAGATGAGAAGAAGCAGATGGTTGCAAATGTGGAGAAACAGCTCGAAGAAGCAAAAGAACTGGTAGGTACAGACGTGGTCATATATTGTAACATACAACCAGAGCCTTTTCTGCTGATGTATTTCTCTAGCCTGTTTTATACTATGTAGAAACATGAAACATTTCTGATTAGCATTTTATAATTCGGACTTCCTCAGTTTTTAAGTTGAAGAGAATTTAATAGTTTCTTGGGATTCATGAAAGGTCCACCTTTAATTTTTATTCCTTCATAATACTTTTCATAATAGCTAGAAATAGCTCATGCTTGTTAAAGGCATACTGAGTACCAGACACTGGGTTAGGCATATTACTTGCTTTATAATATTTAATTTTCCCACAAGCCCTGTGAGACAAACGCTATTCATCAAGAAGTGTTAAAGATCTGAGATGTTCCCCTACTTGCTTTGTAACAGGTGGGCTTTCCATAGTTTCATGGATGCTGGCGGAAGACAAGAGATTCCTAGGTCAGAGACAAAAGAATTTTATTATGGCAAAAGGTGCTGCCAGTTTCAGCACGCTACCTCAGGTCCCTGAGCCCCAGCTCCCACAGGGTGAGGCAAGTTTGCCTGGAAGAATGCCTACGCACAGTGGAATACCTTACCGGAGGGGAACCTGGAGCCTGGGAAATGCCCTGCTTTGTAGCAGCCTGAGAGCGAGCCTGCTGTTTGTCCCAGAGGGACACAGTATTTCCTCCCCCAGGGCTGCTCCCTGTAAATACAACCCTGAGAAATGGCTTGAGAAAGGAGCGGTCAGGGCCTCATATTCTTGGCATGCCCAGCAAGACATGTGGGAGCGTGAGAGACCCACAGAGGAGTGATTCTCAATGCCATTCTTGCCCCCATTTTGTAGACGGGGGAAACTGAGGTCTAGAAAGATCAAGTAACTTTGAGGTACCACACCCAGCAAGTGGTGGAGTATGGACTTGTATTTAAATGGGCTAAATCCAGAGCTCCAGCTCATCCACTACTTTTGGATATAAATAAATTTGTAAATCAAGGAACAAAAAGTATTAAAAAGTATTGTGTCCCAGTTTTTGGTTTCAAAGCCAAGTATCACAAGTACAACTCTACTTGTTACTGCATTGTGGTCCCAGATGAGTGTGTCGCTTTCCTAAATACTGAAGGGTGCTACTTGGGGTTCCTTCAGTACATACTTACTGATTTACTTAGAACAATTCTCCAAGTGTGTTTCTTGTGACCACTGTTACCAGTTCAAGTAAGTTTGGGAAATTAGCTAGCTTAGAAAAATTGGAGGTTGGCATCTTTTTCAGTTGTTGTTTTTCTACAGAATCTTCTCGGACCCTGTAGGAGGCTGAGACATTATGAATCTCTGAGAAGGGACTGTAGGAGGCAGCTAAAGCCTGGAGTGTTTCCAGGCTTATTTGACTAACTGACTGACTTTGGCTGACAGGGCCATACGCAGGGGGCTGCCGTTTTAGGAGCTCTGCAGAAGTAGGTGGTTGTCATTCCCCACGACACAGCAGACCTTTGCTCTGTGACTTGGAGGGCTGAGGTATCGAGCTGCACCACACTGCTCCATCTTCTCTGGCTCTTTTCTAGCTGTCAGAATGTCGGATGCTCTCCAGGCTCCAGAAGATTCGCTTCTCATCTCTGCTGTGCTGTCGCCACGGCAGCTTGGCTTCTAACTCCCCAGCTTCGAATGTTTGCCTCTTGTTTGACAGTTTCTCCCTTTTTGCAAATGCTTTTCTCCTTACTTTCTTTTCTTTTTATATTCAACTATTTCTCTCATGCTTTCTGGCCTTCATGTAAAAAGACTGACCTCCTGCATACCGTAGCTGCCAGTTAGGACACCCCTCCCTTCTGGCTGGAAGCTTCCCATCAGTAGTGAGGTGCAGCTGCTCAGTTATTTGGATCTTGAGTTGACCCCTTAAGTTGTTGTTGAGTTTGCAGGAGCAGTTCTTCTGCCTCAAAATCTGTGTTGGTTTGTTGAGCCATCAAGGTATTCAATGATGTTAGAAAGCTGGTTTCCTAATAACCAAGATTTTACTGGACCAGGAAGTATAAAACATAGTCGTCCCCTCATGGAGCTTCTAGTCATCTTCAGTCATGACCAACCTCAAGAGTTCTAAGATAGGTGTTTCTATTTGTTTAAAACAATCAGATGGCTGATTTACTTAGTTCCGATGACATCCTTGTTAAGGACACTGTTCATTGTATTACATCTTCTCCTTTGGACAAGGGAGGACCCTGGCAGAAAAACTTCTTTTTGATTTCACTTATTAGGATTACTTGTGTTTCTGCCGAACAACTGGTTTGTATTAATCTCTTGGACGCTGCTTGTCTTGTGATTACCGTGTCCCCCACGTTGTGTTGGCCATCTGAATGTTGGGACAACACGAAACAAGTTCATGTTAACCTTTTTCCTGGTTTCGTTGAAAGTGCTTGTTGTGTGTTTCCTTTTTTTCTTGCCTACTTTTAATTTTGTTTTCAGTGTCTTTATAAAATGCCTTAAACAGCAGTGTAGTTAACTCTTGGATTTTCACTTACGTGTACTTAGGCAGTTATTTGGATGATCCTGCTCACCTTGTTAGAAGTAGGTACTTAATGATGATTTCAAAAAAGTGTTTTTTTTTTTTTAATTTTTAAAAAAGATTTTTATTTGTTCATTAGAAAGAGAGAGAAATCACAAGCATGGGGAGTGGCAGGCAGAGGGAGAAGTAGGCTCCCCACTGAGCAAGGAGCCTGACACGGGGCTCAATCCCAGGACCCTGGGATCATGACCTGAGCGGCAGACGCCCAACCGACTGAGCCACCCAGGCGCCCCGAGAGAAGTATTTTAAAAAATTGCCTTGCTGAGTAATTTAATTTATTGGTGCTTCACATTTATGTTGAGGCAGGGCAATAATTTAAGTAGTCACTGTTTAAATCTAATTAAAACTCTCTCTTTCTCAATAAAAATTAAGACCCATGAATTAAAACATGGTTTTCTGGTTTATCTGAGAGCTACTATCATTATTCAGTCTCTAATGCTGGACAAGTAAGAGTTTTATTAGTGATAAGCTTATAGTAGTCATGGAAATAACTCATTAGAATGCTTTAAGAGATAAAATATAAGCAGCATTTTTGGGTGTGAGTTTATTTGACATGGCCTGAGCCAATTTGCTGGTGGTGGTGGGTTTTATTTTTTAATGCCAAGTATAAATAAGCTACCTCTGATACCTTGTGTCTCTACTTGCTGTATTTCTTCTGCATCATCAGTAATCATCTCTACTATTATTAACATTAATCTAGTCATTACCAAGCAAGAGACATTGTTGTAAGCACATTATAGGAATTACACCATATAATATTTACAGCTGTCCTACAAAAGACTTTCTATTTTTAGAAATGAGAAAAGTAAGCCCCAGAGGAGTTAATAAACCTGTCCGAGACTGCACAACTAGTAAGTAGTGGAGCCTATGATGTGGGTGCAGGTGTCTGAATCAAACACCTGTGTTCTTAACCGTCACACTCTTTTTGTATTGCCTCTCAGTAAATGCGCATGTGTTGTATCCAAAGTGTTATTAATGCCAGATTCTTGAGAAGTATGCGGTTGTGATATCAGCGAGCTTTGTGTAATTTAGTAAATTGCTGTATCCATTTAATGCCATAACATGGTTATAAAGTAGAAGGAGTTAGGCTGAAGGTTGAGATCACATGCTGGTTGGCATGTGATTTTCCTAATCAGAAAAGAGTTTCCAGAAGAATTTTCACCAAATGACTAAGGCTGAGCTGACATTTTCTAGATTTAGGGTAGAAATAATGGTTTGTTTTATGTTCCCATAGTCCTGGTTGGTGGTTTGGGGTCAGAAGACCAAACCAGGTGAGGTTAGACTGAATGCTAGAACACACCAAAGGTATTAAAATTGTTATTATTGAGGATGTTTGGATTAATGCATATGTTTGAAAAAAAACCAAACATTCTTGACAAAGTGAGTGCTTTGGCACTCTGCATGTCACTAGCAAACACTCAGGAACTATTTATTTGTTGACGTAAACAAAAGTTAAGCCCCAAAGCAGTCCCATCGTTATTTGATCATAGGCAGCTAGCTCCCTCGGCCTGGCTCCTCAGGTGTAAAACGAAAAATTGGGATTAAATCCTTTCAGCTCTAAATGTCTGGCCAAATAAAGTATAAGCATATGATTTAAGTCACGTTTTCCTCTCACCCTGCCAGCTTGAACAGATGGATCTGGAAGTCCGAGAGATACCACCCCAAAGTCGAGGAATGTACAGCAACAGGATGCGAAGCTACAAGCAAGAAATGGGCAAACTTGAAACAGATTTTGTGAGTCAGATTCCCCCTCTCTGTCATATTTACCAATCTTTAAACTGCATTTTCACCTCTGTTTTCTGTTGTTTCCTCCACACGCCTCAGTTAGCCTGATATGCATAGTCTCTGGGAGCTGGTGCAAGAGACAGCACAGTTTTTATAATTTATGGCTTGGGTGTCTAAAAATACTTGAAGAGCTAGCTAATGATGGAATATGAGGTACGTTGGATTGCTGACTCACAGATATATCCAAAGCATGTCATCCTCTGAGTTTAGAAAGTATTTATTGATACTTAGCATTTATTAGAATTTTGAAACCCAATTTTGGGCTTTTCTTAGTCTGCAGCCTTTCAGATGCAGTGTTCATAGATGGACTTCAGGGGCACATGAATGTCCTGAAATTATATAGGTATTTTTGGATGTCCATTCCCATGTGCACTTTTCTCCTGGGATAGGCGCCATAGGCTTTATTAGAGTCTTAAAAGGATATGTTACACTCCTCCCACCAAAAGGACAAAAGTAATTCAACTAATTATTTATACAAGTGATCCTTTATACCAGTTGCTCCAAGAGAATATTCAGCTTTCTCTTCCTATGTATCCGACTTTCAACTCTACCTACTTTATACAAATTTAAGAATGCAAATTTAAACATAACATGTTGAAATTGTTAGTAATTAAAAAGTAATAGGAGTTTGAAAGACAGAGCTGAGCAGTTCCACTTCTGGATATATATCCAAAAGAATCGAAAGCAGGGTTTTTATATTTGCACACCCATGTTCATTGCAGCATTATTCACAAAACCAGAAGATGGAAGTAACCCAGGTGTCCAGCAGCAAATGAATGGATAAACAGAATATGGTACATGCATATTACTCAGCCTTAAAAATGGTGGAAATTCTAATGTATGCTATGACATGACATGACATGCTTGAGAACATTATGCTAAGTGAAATAAGCCAATCATGAAAGACAAACAGTATATGATTCTGTATATATGTACCTAGAGTAGTCAAAGATAAGAGACAAAGTAGAATGGTGGTTACTAGGGACTGGAGAGAGGGGGAAACAGGCAGTTATTGTTTAATGGGTGTAGAGTTTTAGTTTTGCAAGATGAAAGGCTCTAGAGATCGGTTGCTCAACATGTGAATATATTTAACACTACTAAACTGTACACTTAGAAATGGTTCAGATGGCAAATTTTATGTTATGTGTATTTACTACTTAAAAAAAAAAAAGATACAGATGAAGAACTGAGCTTTACCTGTAAATGACAGAGGAGTCATGTCTTGGTATGTGAATCAACTTCATTTCTGACCCTGGGGTCCAAATTCATAAAGAAAGTCAGGAATTTATGAGGGTCTTTCTGCCTCTGTTCCTGCCTTAAGTGTCTTGCTTATGGAGGCTGGGTCTTCTAGACTACAGTGGTACCAGACCCAGTAGAAATCCCCCTAGAATCTGGAGATAGGGTGATTTGCAGTTATGCATATTTATTTTATATTTTGATGGATACTTTCCTGAGAAGTCGAGATAGGCTACGTCAGTGACTCTGATGCATTTGCGTTTTAAATTGTCTTTCCATTAATTAAAAAAAAAATTGGAATCCACCATGGGCCTAAATTCAGAAAAGAAGCATAACTGCCTAGCTCCTGTGCTCTGTGCTAGATAAAACCTTCTCTAATTGCTTTGTGAAAGGTGGGTTCTCTTAGGGAGAATATGAGGTATAATGAGAAAATTTAAATTGATTTGAGAATTTGACAACTCAAATTTATACTTAGACAATTCTAATTAAAATTAATGTTTCAATATGAATGATGATAGTAAAGTAAAATATTTATGAGGATTATTTTAGTTTGCTAACCTCATCTTTATGAAACTCCTTTACACAGATTTCTCTCTTGGTTTCTAAAATAACAAATTATATTAGTTTGTGAGGGCTGCCATGATAAAGTACCACAGACTGGATGGTTTAAACAACAGAAATTTATTTTCTCACAGTTCTGGAGATTGAGAGTCTGAGATCAAGGTGTCAGCAAGGTTGGTTTCTTCTGAGGCCTCTCTCCTTGGCTTGGAGATGGCTGTCTTCTCCCTGGGTCTTCACATGGTCTTTCCTCTGTTTGTGTCTATGTTCTGATTTCTTCTTCTTAGAAGGAGACCGGTCACATTGGATTAGAGCCCACCCTGGTGGCCTTGTTGTAACTCAGTTAACTCTTCTCCAGATGCAGTCACTTTCTGAGGTACCAAAGGTTAGGACCTCAACATATAAATTGAGATAGTAGACATAATTCAGCTCATAACACTGAATTTAGTTTTGATCTTTTCTTCTTAAAAATTTTTTCAGAAATTAAATTGCTTCTGTTGCTTATAAGTCAGCTAGCTCAATCTTCATTGTTTTTTTTGGTCTCCTGAAGAATATAATCTGGTTAGATCCAAATCTGATATTTGGATATTGTATGCTTGGGTACATATTTCTTAGGCATATTTTCTGTTTTAAAGAAAAATGGAATCAGTAACTGTGATCTGAACACCTGTTCTCCAGGCTATCATTAAAAATTCATGTATTTATGTGGATAATTATTAGCACAACTTTCTTCGATTGTCAGGAGGCATCCTTTACCACTACCAGCCCCCACCTTCCATGGTATAGTGACTTAAAGTTTATAAAGTGCTTTAACATACACTATTTCATTTCATTGTATGAGGAGTAGACAGAGTAGATGTGGATGACTATCCTCATTTTATGCATGATAGAACCAAGAAGTTCAGATTGATTCTGCATGCCATTCAACACATCATTCTCAAGCCCAGCTGTGTGTAAGACATTGCTCTAAGTGCTTGGAAAAAGCTGTAATTAAGATAAAGTTCTTGTTCTCATGGAATTTAAACTCTAGTGGGAAAGACAAGAAACAAATAAACAAATACATCTATATCATAATTTCAGGGAGTGATGAGTGCTATAAATGAAAATAAAGTGAGTAAATGGGTGAGAGTGGCTAGCACAGTGGTCATGGCTGTTTTGGCTAGGGTGTTCTCTGTGGCGTGAGAGAGAGAGGAAGAGGCGCATGTGTTTACAGAGGGAGGCAGAGGAAAGATCTGCAAGGGCGTCGTAGACATGGTAGAGACCTTGGCTTTTACTCTGGATTGATGAGAAGCCTTTGAGAAGTGAGTGGTCCTTTGATGCCTCTTCTACAGCTTCCTCCACTTTTCCTTACCACACCACGTGAGGTATTCGAACAGGGTATAGAAAATAGGTACATAATTCCCTTTTGATTCATATTATCTTTTTATATTTAATTCTTTTATGTTTAAAGGAATGAAGGCTATCTTCTTAAAAACATTTGATAACTTTCTTATGGTGCTATACCTAGAAACATTGAACCCCAAGAAAAATAGCACAGATGGTCCTTCATTGTTATTGCAAATGAAGCAGATGTGCTATTCCCCTTGTGACGTCGAGACGTTGGGGGATCATTTGTACCGATGAGGAAGGGCAGAGGACAGCTCAGTACTTCTTTCTTCGACTCTTACCGTCTACTTGTTTTCTTTTCTCGGCCCCTCCTCCTCCTCTGCCTGTTGCTTAGACACTAGATTCTTCAGGCTTCTCCGCTGACTCCCAGTGTCTTACTCTGTGTGGCATCATCCACTCCTGTGGCTTCAATGACTGGGTCTACACCAACCTGCATTTCTGACCCAGACCTCTATAGCTCTAGATTCATACTTCTTACTACTTACTTTATTCCAGAGTCCCTTAAACACAAACACTTAAATTTGACAAGTTCCAGTCACTTCCGAGTTAATCTTTAATTTCGCCCTCGCCATCACTTTGCATGTCCAGTTGATCACTGAGAATTAGCAGTCCTGCCCTCAAATATCTCCCACTTTCATCTCCACTACTAGAAGCTCTCATGTTTTTCCATCTCAATGTTTGTAGCAGCCTTTCCTCCTTCTATTCTTCTCCCGCTCTAAACCACGCTCTGCACCAGTCTCGAATTATCTTTCTAACACACTGATTTGAATATGTCACATTGTTCTACAAAATCCCATGGACTGCTCATTGCCTGCTGAATAAAATCCAGGTCAGCTAGTAGGTTTTCTGTTCTGTTCCATTCCTTCTTCACATGTCTAGGAATTTTATTATCACATGCTTGGTATTATGGATCATACATTGTTAAAAGCCTAGATTTTGTTGGTTTCCTTTAGAGTGGTGCATCTCAACCTTTTCTTCATTATCACCACCCCCTCAAGGAACCTTTTTAGACTTTTTTTTCCCCACAATTTCCCCTTCCTCCTCCCACGGCCATCAAATTTTAATGCTACAGATATATATCTGTACATACTATGAATGACCCTTTGGAGGGCCTCATGTCTCTGTAATGTCTAAAATTTTTCATCCTGCCAAGAACCAATTTTTGCCTCCACGGCATTTTATCACCTCTGCTGTCAATGCATGTTTTAGAGAATTTTTTTTCTTTTTCTTTTTTTAAGTAAGCTCTATGCCCAGCATCAGGCTTGAACTCCCAACCCTGAGATCAATGGTCACATGTTCTACCAACTGAGCCAGCCAGGTACCCCCTAGAGAATGTTGAGCTTTATTGGGCAAGCAGATAAATTACTAACAGATCAGATTGATCCTCTCAAGGCTTTTGTTAAAGTGTTTAAGGACATGTCTAGAGTAGACCTACTTTTGAGGTGTGGCTTTTCTTGGCTTCCATTTGAATGACTGGAGCATTCAATGACTGCTCTGCTTGTGTTTGGTCAGAATTCTGTCTCCCTGCTTTGGGTGACCTCCAGAATCTCCATTCCATCCATAGCCCCCCAGTACTTGTTCTCTGCAAGGCTTTGTGGGATCTTGCCCTCCGCGTATGCAAATTCATTTTCCGCCATAGGCTGAAGGAGAACCCTTTATAGATTTCTGGAGCCCCTTCTCTGTGTAGCTCCCTTCTCTATATTACTGTGCTAAATTCTCTCCATCTCAATCCCAAACTCCAGTGTCTGCCTCTTAAGCTCAGTGACACA